GGTTGACACATGTCATCGGTTCCCAATTGCGTAGATCGATGCTCATGCTGTTGATCACTGGATTGTCTGGTCCAGACTTGATTATTTACAGACCACCATATAGCTGGCATATTGCTGAGTGCGGCGTAAAACTAAACTCACTCACTCACTCATACCCTGGTTGAGTTGATTGGTTCTTATAATGTTAATCACTGGATTGTCTGGTCCAGATTATTTCATTTACATCTGCCATATAGCTGTAATATTAATGAGTGTGCCACCCCACAACAAACAACCAACCAAACAGTTACATAATAACATTGCGGCAACAAGACTTTTTCCGTGATCATTAATCTACACATACTGTTGTGACAATAATGTCCTAGTTTGTCAACACAGACAACCAGGATTAATCTACACATACTGTTGTGACAATAATGTCCTAGTTTGTCAAAACAGACAACCAGGATTAATTAAGACAGTTGTGACAATAATGTCACAGCTGATTCAAGACAGACAACCAGGATTAATTTCTGGCTCTGTATATGAAACAAATACACACAGTAATCTTAATCCCTGCATATAAGACAATGCCTAGCAAAAACAAATTAGAATTGAAAATGTAAATAATCTTGTCTAGTGATGTTTAACTGTAAATTTGACGTCTCACCTAACAAAGTCGTCTTCTCTTGTTCGTTCATGTGAAGCGATATAATGTCGTTTTCTTACCACCAGAAAAAAATCATCATCATCATCATCATCATCATCATCATCATCATCATCATCATGGGTACAATGTGTGAAGCCCATTTCTGGTGTCCTCCACCGTGGTGTTGCTGGAATATTGCTAAAAGCGATGTAAAACCAAACTCATTCAGTCATCATTATCTTCATCACAATCATCATCATCATCACTGCCATCATCACCACCACCACCATCATCACTGACAAATAAGAGGATGGTAGTCTATTTTTAATGAGGGATTCACTAAATGAAATAGTGGTCAGCTATGGAGGACTTGCGGGGTAGAAAGTTCTGTGCTGAGGAGAGGGAGACAGGCTTAAATGTAGTGCAGGAAAATGTTCCATCATCCCAATAAACAGGACATTCAGTCCGTTTGAGACAAAATGATACCGATGAATTGCAATCTAACACAAAAACAAATAGACATAAAAGAATCAAACCAACGCACTCTGGGAAAAAACAACAGACCAATCTAGGGTTCTTCTTCATAATTTGTTTGAGCTGCTGAGATGCGAGATGCACATGCGTTAACGGGTTCTCAACACATTTTTGAGCTGGCGAGATGACACGTACCCCAGCTGCACAGGCAGTGCGCTGTATGTACTTCATAATTGCATACTTGGGTCACCCCCTGTCATTTTCATCCGTGAAGAAATCACAGATTTTGTAAATTATAGACTTTCATTTTCTCTCACTTTGTCAGTAATCACATGTCTCTAACGTCACTAATTAGGGCTTCAACGAGTCCATTTTTTGGGACTCGAGTACTCGAGGGGTGAGACTCGACTCGGACCTGAGTACTCGAAATTCATACCTTTCAAGCAAACGATCAATTGTCAAGATAGTTACCTAATCATTTTAAGAAGTGAAATCTCAGTCGATGTATAATATTTACTCTCATCTGCAGACTTGTAACAACTAATACCATACAGCCACACCGTGTGAGGAGTACACTATTTAATCTAGGTGTTAATAAAAACATTATCAGATGGCTTAAAGAATTCAGGGTACATAGAACTCAGTATGTCAGTGTCAATGGCTATCAATCTTCTTTTCTCTCAACCTCTACTGGAGATCCACATGGCTGTGTTCCTTCATCCGTACTCTTCGTTTTGTATACCAATGACTGTTACTTGTCAATATATGACTTGTTTACTGTGAAATTTGCAGATGACGCCACTGTTAATGGCCTAATTTCTGATTCTGAACATTATTATCGTCAAGGTATTGACAAAACCGTAATGACAGTTTTTTATCAAACCTTTATTCAAAGTGTGTTGACCTACAATTTTCTATGTTGGTATGGGGATCTGTCTCATCTTAACAAAAACAGACTTTTCAAAATTGTTAATACTGCTTGCAAAATTTCTGGAGTGTATTTCAAGTATAGTCAAAAAGCAGCTAAAATTAGATTTGATAGTTGACATATTTGATCTCACCATTTTGAACTACTTCCTTCTGGACGCTGCTGTAGATTACCTTCCCTCAAAACAGAGCGCGACAGTCTTTCATACCATCAAGTATTCGTGAATGCAACAATATTTTGAATCATCATCATGTGATTAGAACTAGAATTATTCAGCCTCTTTACCTATGTGGTTAATTGTATTATATCATGTCAGTTTTATTTATAAATAGCATTCTTTTTGAGCATGTAATTATTGTGTATATTTTTGTGAACTGTGTATATATTTATTTTGAGACAGTTTGGATGTATGAGAATTTCCTCCGGGATAATAAAGTTATATCTTTTTCTTAATATTAGACGTTAACGGCCGCTCATGCTTAGCACATGGCAGACAGTCCGTCAACGTCAATAATTCGAGTTATCTCCCCTTTTAGAGTCCTCGAGTCCTTGAAAATGGACTCGAGTCCAGCTACACCCGACTCGTCCTCAGTACTCGAGTACCCGTGGAAGCCCTATCACTAATGCACGTGCATCTCGCTTTTCACGCTGTTCCTTTAGTTGCCCATGGGCCCTTGTAACAAACTTGGAAAACGCACAAATAAATGAAGACCGTTTCTTAAACAACTTTTTTATTTTGTGACACAAATTATGCATTTTTTTCCTAGAGTTGGGCTGTTGTTTTTATTGCAGTCCGCGTTGGTTTGATTCTTTTATGTGTATTTGTTTTTGTGTTAGATTGCAATTCATAGGTATCATTTTGTCTCAAACGGACTGTAGCAGCTGTGACATCTAATACCATTGGTTTGTCTTCCAATCTCTTTAAGTCAGATTATATACTAGGATTTCATACCTTGCCATCTCAACTAAAGTACACTCTTGCCGCCAGTGAGCGTTATCCTAAGATGTACTAAATTGTGGGTACAAGATTGTGAGCAAACATATACATGGCCACACTTGTATAACTTCTTTGAGTGTCATTTTTAGAAGTAGGAGAGTCAGGTAAGGACAAACTTTATGGATAAACAACTTTTATATCCCGGTGATGCAATAGTCTATATATATCCTGCACACCTGCTGTATATTTAAAGGGCAATGGTTAGCAGTATCACAGTTATCACACAATTTGAAATTCAAATAGCACAAGACAGCAAGGGACAGTTGAACTTGCTCAGTGGGAGTGCACTGAAATAGAACTGTTCTCAAACTCAGAAATCTCAGTCTTTCACACTTAACTAAATAATAATTCAGTAAATTACATTTTTTCAAAATCATGCATATTTTAATCTTGTTAGCAAAGTTTATGGAACTGACAAGTCAGTTTCAAATGATGAAATTCAGAAATTAGCATCTTATTTGTTTGATTCAAAAATAAAAAGTATTCTTTACCTATTCCCTGAATGTAGTGTGTATGTTTCACATTTCTTGTAACCATAGCAACATCCAATGGTGAACAACTAGGTAGTTAGCGGTGTACATGATATAGGGTGCTAATACATGCATCGTTAATTTTAATTTCATAACAAAGCACGAAAGAATGAACACATATTGTATCTCAATGCATGAATCATATTTGTAATATATTAGTTTACAATACCCATCAGTATGATAAATATTTAATTAACTTATACAAATCAGCCTTGAGTCTATTGTACTTATGTTATTCCTGTTGTATTCTATGACATTATGTATTGTGATCAAGCTCTGATGTTTGGGTATCAAGTCAAGCATACAGTGCACTGTAGTCTTGATCTGTAGTAATACTTCTTACCTTTATTGCTACCTGTGACCTCTTTTTGGAATGTTCTGTTTTTAGAATGTTATTTTCTTTTATGTAATGCACTTTTTAAATCAATATTGTCGTATTAGATTTGAGATAATCGTACCTGTTTTTTTTAAATTAGAAATTGTCTCATTGTAGTTTCGGTACTGATTTTCTCTAAAGTAAACATTATAATATTCAATATACCAAATTAAACACCCGCCATCAATTATATTGCAGTCTTTAGAGAAATCAAAAAGTTTTTAATCCAGAAACTGCCATTTTGATGATATCTTTATGTGGGAATGTCCACAAATTCTTACAAAAACGTCCCTCTGACACTTTTCCTGATCACTGCCCTTTTCCTTAAAAAATATTAAGTTTCACGTGCTTTCCATAAGGGGAAATAACTCCTCCAATAGTGCTTGGAGTACCACTACTGACTGTGTTCTGATTGGTCAACTGAAAAGGCTAACTGACGCACCTTCTACTAGGGTTTGTTAGACTCAGTATAGCAGTGTAACGAATAATACTGAGCCATAGTTTACTTAGACTGGACATTCATCAAAGGTCAACATTGTGAAGATCCAAGTTAGAAATGGTCTTCAACAACCGATCCTTGTTATAAAGGTGACTAACATGATGCAGACCTTGTCATTTGGTACATGTCGATGGTTATGTTGTCAATCATGTTGCTGAAATATTGCTAAGGGCAGCATTAAACAAAATACAAACTTTAAGGGTCTTAGGTTTCAATCCCAGATTCACTCTTTCTAGGGGCGGTGGGGTAGCCTAGTGGTTAAAGCGTTCGCTCATTACCCAGACCCAGGTTCGATTCCCCACATGGGTAAAATGTGTGAAGCCCATTTCTGGTGTGCCCTGCCGTGATATTGCTTGAATATTGCTAAAAGCGGCATAAAACCCAACTCACTCACTCTGATTAGGATGCAGGTTCCAGGTTAATGGGGGCATGTGTGGCATCAGTAAGTATCCTAGTATTGATGTGTCGTAGGCTTGAGGTAATGTTTAAATGGCTATAGGTATGGCAGACCTTGTAGGGAGTGTGCTTATCCGTGGTTGTATATATATTTTGACAAATTTCCTTGCAGTTTGAGGAGATGGCGACGCGGGAAGACCTGATGGGTGTTGAAGACACAGCTAAAAAAAGTATCCTTATGTTGACATACTGAAGCCTTGTCACTGATACCGTATGTAAAAGCAGGGCTCCAGATAAGGGCGACCGCCTCAGTGGTGTAGTGGTTAGAAGCGTCAGCCGAGAGGCGGAAGGTCAGCGGGGTTCGATCCCGACCCGCGTCATACCAAAGAGCGTTAAAATATAGTACTTGTTGGTCCCTGCCTGGCGTTCGGCATTAATGGGTACAACAAGGACTGGTCGGCTCGGAGTCAGTATAATGTGTCTGAGTGGGGTATTCATGCTTTACTGCGGCATGGCATCTCAGTGGGCTAGCACCTATAAAAACCAGCTTAAGTCTGGGCTAGTACAAGCAGGATACACGCATGAATCATATGAGTGAAATATTCTAGGAATTTCACCTCACCTCCAGATAGGGCCATTATCACCGTATGTAACGGATACAAAATATGTAGGAAATAATTTAGAAAATGTAGCAGATTCGCACCATAGCAGTGATGTATGGTCTTAAATTACTGTTGGAAATGGAAAAAACTCTTTTTGCTTTTATATCTACAATTTATGTAGTTAATATGTGAAAGTGTGAAATATCTGTTAAATAAAGTTCTACAGTCTCAGTGGTAGGGAGATAGGAAACGTAGAAAAAGGACTTTACTGAGGAGAGATTAGTGCAGAAATGAGCAATGTGGTTTAAGCAAAGTGACTTATTTGGAACAGACCATGGCTTTATTCAAATTAGTGTGAGATGATATTGTATTACAAAGGACACTTTTTAAATGCCCACTTTGAAATTAAGCATAGCTTCATTATGAACGATAGCTGACGTAAAAATAATAACTTTAATACTGAAACTATTAAGGATGTAGCTACCATGCAGTCTCACTGTCACTATAAAAGGAAACAGGCAGGAGGGGTCGTCTCAAAAACAAAATCAGGACGGGTGTCTCAGACGGTTGCTGGGGGATAAAGATATCAGCTAAAATAAGATAATCCTTTAGGGGAATTAAACTGGGGAAGCAAACGGCATGTCATAACAATTTACAAATACTGTCAAGTCCTGTCGATCTTCGGGTGGTCATGCCACCTATATGTTTTGAGACATATAATACAATGCCTGATTTATGCTTTTCTATGGGTATCATACTCTTTTACATATCTCAACATAAATTTCATGAAAGAAAGACATGTAAGATGTTAATCAAAAGATGAGACATATTCAACACACATGAAAACGCATAAAATATCTTTGAGATGACCCCTTGTGCCTGAAGGCAGCACATGCATTTCATGCCAGGTGAGTCAATGGTCTGTCGTCATACCTGGCTGAGCAACCTGTTATTGCCATAAATAGTCTGATCTATTGTTTTCAGCAGCTGTTCGTATTTTTTCTAAGTTTTGCCCGATTTTACAAGTAAACATGCTTTTCTGGATATCTTTTTACGCTTCTGGATATCCTATTACGCATCCCACTGAACGCCCAGTCAGGCCGATGTGGGTTATTTCGACAAATGCTATTTGTAATTGTGTAAATTTTAGGGATACAGCCTAAAATAACATTTTTTCTATTTCCGACAGTACTTTGAATCATTTACAGACATATTTATCTGAAAAAGTATTGTTTTATTGTTCATTGACCTGTTTACACAAGAGTAGCAATGTTGTGGTGCTTATATGAAACCAAACTCCAGATTACTGATACTCCATTAAATTCCATTCAGTAGTCTAAATGTACTCTTAAGGTTTTCCAGTACTCCTGTATTGGAAAAATAAGGTGTAAGTACTCCCGAGTACATGAGATTCACACTCTGCTTTAACACGTGAGGGTTGACTTTCAACTAGAATGACATCTTGTCTCTGAAATAATTTTTTTTACTGAAAACAAACTGAGAACTCGTCAAGCAAATTTGCCAAACTGAAACCCTGTCAATGAGAACTTATGTAAAAATCACGAGATTCACTCTTGGAATTAACTTTCAACTAGACTAAGATTTCATTTCTGAAATGAACACATTTTACAGAAGAAAGCAGCCTGATAGATGCACTCTGTATTTTTTGTGTGGATAGAAAATAATTTAAATCTAGTAAAATGCCCCCACCACCTATATTTTTAAAAAAAGAACAGTTTTATTGATTACAGAACAAAGCTGTGATTTACATGTTGGTCCAGCCCTTTAAGTTTGGACTGTCATCTCCCCACACCAGCCCTGACTGTGTCCTTGTTGCAGGTGGGGCAGTGGGGTAGTCCAGTGGTTAAGCATTCGCTCATCACACTGAAGGCTCGGGTTTGATTTTCTACATGGCCAAAATGTGTGAAGCTCATTTATGATGTCCCCCATTGTTTTATTGCTATTATATTGCTAAAAGAGCATAAAACTCACTCACTCACTGACTCAGTTGTCTGTTGAGGATCAGCTTGAACAACTTTCTTTCTATATAAACAGTGCCTCTTGCAAATGTGAAAGGCATTTACATCTGGAGGTGGATGTCGGTGTGCCTGTACCAGTGAAGATCCGTTTAGAATTGATCTTCAGTAACCCATGCTTGTTGTAAGAGGCGACTAACAGGATCGTGACATGGGTCTGAGGCTCGCAGACTTGGTTGACACATGTCATCGTATCCCATTTGCGCAGATCGATGCTCATACTGTTGATCACTGGATTGTCTGGTCCAGACTCGATTATTTACAGACCGCCGCCATATAGCTGGAATATTGCTGAGTGCGGCGTAAGATAAGACTCACTCATGTGCCTGTTAGTAGGACTATTAAGTTACTGTCCAGATGATATCAGTCTCATGAACAGTGGATGTTTCCGCCACCTGCAAACTTTGTTGACCTGCAGAGATGCCAACCTCTACGACTTTATCGTAGTCACTACGAATTATAGCCTCAAACTACGCCAATACACTTGCACTAGAAATTCTACGAAATATGAAGAAAATTCATTAAAATTTGGATATATAGACAAAAAACATATATTTTCATTTGTTGAATACATTTTTGCCAAAAAGTGACAAGAAGAAATGTAATGCTGATAATTTGGAAATCTGCTGTTGGAGGTATGTGAAATTAAAGCTTCCACTTGATTAGTGTGATATCATCTTTCTCAGAATCCATCATGATTTTAAGTATTTAGTTGACTACTAATTTTATGGCCAAACTACTAATTTTGATCCTTGAAACTACTATTTGCAACACTTTGGGGTTGGCATCTCTGGACGTGGATGAGATGCCTTGATCTCAATGCCTTAAAACGATCATCAACAGACTGGTTAGTTGAGTTGCTTAGGTGGAAGAACCACATCAGCCATGACAGGCATTCCCTTTGGTATTTCCTCCACTCGACCAGGACCTCAATACAGATGCATCTAGAGAGGGATGGGGCTCACATTGCATACTCAGACTCCTACACAGTTGGGGCGGTGGTGTAGCCTAGTGGTTAAAGCATTGGCTCGTCACACCGAAGACCCGGGTTCGAATCCCCACATGGGTACAGTGAGTGAAGCCCATTTCTGGTGTCCCCGCCGTGATATTGCTGGCACATTGTTAAAAGCGGCGTAAAACCAAACTCTCAGTCAGTCAGTCAGTCCTACACAATTATAACTATTGTTCCATATCCTCTACTTTTTCCATGTTCCTTAACTGTAGCAGGCTTCTTCTCATCACGTCCGTCATTGATGAACAGATCCACTGTCTTCACACTTGGACAGAGAGGGGATGTGTTGACATCGGAGTTAGAAGCTCCAGTCATTGTACCCCATGCTGCCCAGAAGTCAGATGCTAAGGTAGGTCTGACCAGGTGAACTGTCTCTACATTCCCACATCAAGGTGTTGACATCTGAGTTAGAAGCTCCAGTCATTGTACCCCATGCTGCCCAGAGAGAGTGAGATGCTAAGGTAGGTCTGACCAGGTGAACTGTCTCTACATTCCCACATCAAGGTGTTGACATCTGAGTTAGAAGCTCCAGTCATTGTACCCCATGCTGCCCAGAAGTCAGATGCTAAGGTAGGTCTGACCAGGTGAACTGTCTCTACATTCCCACATCAAGGTGTTGACATCTGAGTTAGAAGCTCCAGTCATTGTACCCCATGCTGCCCAGAGAGAGTCAGATGCTAAGGTAGGTCTGACCAGGTGAACTGTCTCTACATTCCCACATCAAGGTGTTGACATCTGAGTTAGAAGCTCCAGTCATTGTACCCCATGCTGCCCAGAGAGAGTCAGATGCTAAGGTAGGTCTGACCAGGTGAACTGTCTCTACATTCCCACATCAAGGTGTTGACATCTGAGTTAGAAGCTCCAGTCATTGTACCCCATGCTGCCCAGAGAGAGTGAGATGCTAAGGTAGGTCTGACCAGGTGAACTGTCTCTACATTCCCACATCAAGGTGTTGATATCTGAGTTAGAAGCTCCAGTCATTGTACCCCATGCTGCCCAGAGAGAGTCAGATGCTAAGGTAGGTCTGACCAGGTGAACTGTCTCTACATTCCCACATCAAGGTGTTGACATCTGAGTTAGAAGCTCCAGTCATTGTACCCCATGCTGCCCAGAGAGAGTCAGATGCTAAGGTAGGTCTGACCAGGTGAACTGTCTCTACATTCCCACATCAAGGTGTTGACATCTGAGTTAGAAGCTCCAGTCATTGTACCCCATGCTGCCCAGAGAGATCAGATGCTAAGGTAGGTCTGACCAGGTGAACTGTCTCTACATTCCCACATCAAGGTGTTGACATCTGAGTTATGAAGCTCCAGTCATTGTACCCCATGCTGCCCAGAGAGAGTCAGATGCTAAGGTAGGTCTGACCAGGTGAACTGTCTCTACATTCCCTCATCAAGGTGTTGACGTCTGAGTTAGAACTGCTTGATTGTGTCACTTGACCCTTCAGCTGAGTTCATTGTTGCTCATGCTATAATTCATTTGAACTATTTTGTCTACCAGAAAGGGCATATTATCCTTCAAGCTCTTCCAGACAGATACAATGGCTGTATGTGGCCCCTTCTTTACTGTAAAATATACCATATACATAGCCCAAACAAGTATTCCTGACTGATGTGAACCACATCTAGTACACACAGATGTACACAGATTTATGTTTATATAGATTTAGGCTACTGCTCACTTCATGATGTTTTATCCAATGTTCCACTGTTTGCTGTTCCAGTACACATTCGAGTGCCTGTTCCGCAGCCTTCACTTTGCGTTAATGGACAACTGCTGTCGGGAGTTCCTTTTCGTGGTGGACTTCTACATGGCTATAGGATCCGTGGCCCAGAATCTCTTTGATGCTATCATGGGGAAAACTCTCACTATGTTCCTGGTGAGTCAGGGTCCTTTAGTCAAATACAAACTAAACTCACTCACTCACTCGTTCACTCGCTCACTCACTCACTCACTCACTCACTCACTCACTCACTCACTCACTCACCACACTCACCCTTTTGTCAAACCAGTTGTGTAGTTGATAGAGTGTCTACACAGGGAGCGAAAAGGTCAGTGGTTTCATAACCTTGAGACGTTGAGAATTGATGTAACCCTGCATGGGTACTTTGCATTGAGGAAATCAGAGATGGACTGGTCGCCTCTGACCCTGAGTAATGTATAATGCCTCAGACTGGGAGTATCGCTGTTAAACTGCAACATGGTATTTTGGCAAAGGGTTTTGTGGCCATGGCATACTAACAGACGGTCGAAGATGGTACTTGTGGTGACACTCGGGAAGATCTGGGTAAGAATTGATCTTCAATAGCCCATGCTTGTCATAAGAGGTGACTAATGGGATCGGATGGTCAGGCTCACTGACGTGGTTGACATATCATTGTATCCAAATTGTGTAGATCAATGCTCATGCTTTTGATCACTGGATTGTGTGGTCCAGATTCGATTATTAACAGATCGTCAACATATGGCTGAAATATTACAGACCGTCAACATATAGCTTTTGAAATATTGCTGAGTGCAGACTCGATTATTTACAGACCATCAACATATAGCTCAAATATTGCTGAGTGTAGCGTAAAACTAAAGCTCACTTGTTGTGACCACCTTCTACCGACAAACATGAAAGGGTACAACCAGGACTGGTCAGCTCGGGGCATGAATGATGTATTACGTGTTTAGATGGCGTATCCTTGTTAGCATGGTATGATATGAGGCATGGTAAACACTAAAGTCTTGTTACCTGCATCAGTAAGAGTTTATCCAACATTAAGCCATGGTATAACTGAAATACTGCTCAAATTGATTCAACTCTCAAAGAGGGAAAACTTTTCAGTTTTAGTAAAGATAGTTTTACAATTCACTGTTTATGTTTGAATTTTGTATTTATTAGAAAATAAGTATAAAGTGTCTGGATGTCTTGTTTACAGAAACAAATGGAGGACTATGTGAATGACTGTTACGACTCCATCGCCATCTTTCTGTGTATACACATCATATACAGATATCGGACCATGATGCAGAAGAGAAGTGTACCAGGCTTAGACAGGTAGATCATCACATCTTCCTGTATAAACAAATATTCCCATATCTTTGTTTAACGTAGAATACATACTATACTTTACGCTGCTTTTAGCAATATTCCAGCAATATCACAGCGGGGACACTAGAAAATGGGCTTCACACATTCTACCCATGTGGGGAATCAAACCAGGCTCTTCAGCATGATGAGTGGACACTTTAACCATTAGGCTACCCCACCACCCCTCTGTACCTTATAATCCCTATGTAAAGTAGAATATGTCGGGGCCCTGAAATTCCGTCCAACAGCAAATTTCAAGGATTTCAGCAACACTCTTCAGTGATATACCTGGGTTCTTTATTATAGGGCTCCATGGAGTTAAAGCCTTTGATTGATTGATTGATTGACTGATTGATTGATTGATTTGACTGATTGATTGATTGACTCTGCAAACAGCAATATAGCCAGCTATATGGTGGCAGTCTGTAAATAATCGAATCTGGACCAGTAACAATCCAGTGATCAACAGGAGGAGCATTGATCTACGCAATTGGGATATGATGACATGTGGTCAACCAAGTCAGTGAGCCTGACCATCCGATTCATCCAGTAAAGTCCCCCACCACATATATTTTGGAGAAGTTACTCTGTCCTTGTTGCAGGTGAGGTGAGGTGAGGTGAGGTGAGGTGAGGTGAAATTGGGTTTTACGTTGTGCTTGAGAATATTTCGCTCATATGACAACGTGCATGCGTGTGTATGTGTATGTGCGTCTGCTTGTACTAGCCCAGACTGAAGCTGGTTTTATAGTCCTTGTTGCAGGTGGCGCAGTGGGTTAGCGTAGTGGTTTAAGTATTTGCTTGACATGTCGAAAGGCCGGGTTCGATTCCCCACATGGGTACAATGTCCCCAGCCTATTTCTGGTGTCCCCTGCTGTGATATTGCTGGTACATTGCTAAAAGTGGCGTAAAACTAAACTCACTCCCCCTTGTTGCAGGTACTGGGATGCGTTGCTGAACGCCATGTGGCCCCGATTCGACTACATCCTGCAGCTCAACATTCAGAGTGTGAGGGACTGTGACCCACAGAAGCTTCGACACATCGATGTCAGGCCACATTACGTAGGTGGCAACAGTGATTCCATTCCATATAGAATTTGTATCAATGATGGTCATTTGGAACCAATGTGGAAATGGTTCCGAGTCAGTGAAACTGAGCACATGAATGTGAAACAAAGTTTCAGAGATTTTAAGAAATCTACTTGTAGATAAAGGTCTGGTGATTACATTTTCATGTAACGTTTAGTGTAAGGATTAGGGTTAGGATTAATGGACATTTTTTAGAAGGAAATATATACTGGATATGATGTACATAGAGAATTGTTAGAGAACAAAATTCCCAGCCATGAAAACATATTCCTACAAAAAGCTGTTCCATGGGAATATATTTCCTAGACAAAATAGTACAAAGGAGCAATTCCACTACAGAAACAGTTAGTCATAACCAGACAACAGTAAGGAAAGCATTTCAGCTGTTTTAAAACAGTTGTTGAAAGTTCTGTTTTAGGTATATTTATGTTTGTTTTGTCGACATCTAGTTAAATTTGAGATTGTGAATGAGAAACATTCCAGTTTGTGAGTGACATTACAATCTGTAGATTTACCCTGCCCGTCATTCAAGTTGACCCAGAGAGGCAATGTACACCTTGGTACAATCTGATGTTTACATTACATTTTTGTGGATTTGTAGATAACACGACGCTATGCCGAGTTTTCTGCTGCCATTGTTGGCATCAACCAGTCATATCCAGATGAGCGAGTTGACCGTCTGCTTGGACAGCTGCAGTCAGAAGTTGAGAACTTCATCCTCAAGATGGCCGCCGAGTTCCCACAACGCAAGGAGCAGCTGGTGTACCTCATCAACAACTACGACATGATGCTTGCTGTGCTCATGGTTAGAGTCGTGTTCATTGTGTCTCCTCTTATCTATCTCTATCTATCTATCTATCTATCTATCTATCTATCTATCTATCTATCTATCTATCTATCTATCTATCTATCTGATGGGCAACTAATGGGATCGGGTGGTCAGACTTGCAGACATGGTTCACACATGTTATTATATCCCAATTGCATAGATTGATGCTCATACTGTTGATCACTGGATTGTCTGGCTGCCATATAGCCGGAATATTGCTGAGTGAGGTGTAAATACTTAACTCACTCACTCACTGTAGTCTCACCAACACTGAAAACCAAACATGGATACATCTTTTGGAGAAAGGGCGTGCACTTATAATACGAAAATGTAGCATATTTTTTTGGATCATTTTGGATTTGTGATCATAATATTTGTCACCTAATTATTATTATTTGAAAACATGATTTGGTTCACAACCCTGCTCCCCATTTTTTATCAGCAGAATTTAGTTAGGAGATAAACATCATGTGTTGGCCGACACAAACTGACGGCATTTGCCAGAAGTTTCAAATGAAATATTCCTGTGCTTCAAATACTCAAGAACACCCAGAAATTGGCCAACACATGATGTTTATCGTCATTGTAAACCAAAAGGTCCACACGCGTTTTTGTGTCTGCACTCATTGACGTTGAGTACGGGGACAGCAGTGAAGTGTGATCAGCCGGCCGTTTCGGCTGTCTCCCATGGTAGCATAAGGAACTGATCATTTGTGACGTCATTCAGACTTTACGTCACAATATGATTTAAATGACGTAACCACTGCTGACGACGTAACAATACAATGGTGTGTGCAATGTTTGTAAGTATTAATATGGAACGAATTAATTTCCAGGAATTGAATACCATTCGATCATGTTTTTCAACCAATCAGATTGAAGAACACAGTGACTTTTGGTTTACACTTTAAATTTGTGCTTGTCAGAGGAGGTGATAAACTTGGTTTGACTGGAACTTCTACCAGCAGCACTATAGCTCATAGCAGGCGGAGTTGTTTCAGAAATTAGATAAATGTTAGTATTACTACTGACTTGTCTGGCAAACTGGGTAATATGTTACTGGTACTCAGGTCTGCTGTTGGTTCTGTATGTGATGGCACCATCACACCAGTTGTATAGCTTTCTGAGGGGTGGTGGGGTAGCCTGATGGTTAAGGCATCCGCTCATCACGCTGAAGACCCGGGTTCGATTCCCCACATGGGTAAAATGTGTAACGCCCATTTCTGATGTCCCCCTCTGAGATATTGCTGGAATATTGCTAAAAGCGGTATAAAACCAAACTCACTCAACTCACTGTTCTGAGACATGGACCTGTGTAGAGGTGTGTTAGTTACTTAAGCAGAAGCCATTGATGGTTGGATGCCGTCCCACAATTCATCTCATTATTATTTGGGTCACAGCACCATGCCTTTAGTTCTAACATCCAAGATCTGACCCATTATGAGCTTCCCTGTCTCTATGAGCTGACCTGTTTATTTGTTGCAGGAACGGACTGCTGAGGATTCCAAAGAAACTGAAAGTTTCAAAGAGTTGCTTCAGGCTCGAACCCAGGAATACATTGAGGAGATCCTGGCACCTCACTTCGGGGGAATGATCACTTTTGTCAAGGACTGTGAGGTCATCCTGGAGAGAGGGCAAGCTGAGCAGCTCAAACAAGAAGAGAGTGAGTTATCTCAGTTATCAGAGACTGTGTGTATGTCAGCCATGTTCATTTAGCACCCGAGAAGCAAACTTAACAGGTGCTACCAGGAAGTAGGAAGTACTTGGGTACTTGAGGTTAATTCACTTGCCATGTGAAAAGGCTGGGATTTGATTCCCAACATGGGTACTATGTCTGATTCCCATTTCTGGTGAACCCTGCCTTGATATCCCTGGATATTGGTGAGTGAGTGAGTGATCTACCCACTCATTCACTCACCCGGAACCCCTTTTGTCTGAAAGCAAGAAGCCAATATGTATGATAAAAAAAATTCAAATATAGTTGCCTTGTTAAGTCTCACTCATCAACTAACAACTAATAGTTTTGAAAAGAACTGTGACAGTGTTAACGTCAGTGTTGTCTCTCTTACTTGTAGACCCGTGAAGATCCGGGTCTTCAGCAACACATGTGCTTGCCATAAAAGGCGACTATGCTTGTCGTAAGGTGGTCAGTTTCACTGACTTGGTTGACACATGTCATCGGTTCCCAATTGCGCAGATCGATGCTCATGCTGTTGATCACTGGATTGTTTGGTCCAGACTCGATTATTTACAGACCGCCGCCATATAGCTGGGATATTGAGGAGTGCGGCGTAAAACTGAACTCACTCACTCACTCACTCTCTTACTTGTAGGACGGGTGCAGCAGATTGTGCGCGGTTTCAACAATGACTGGAAAAAAGCTCTGGAGACTATCAACCAGGATGTGATGCGCTCCTTCACCAACTTCAAGAATGGCACCCAGATACTACAGGTGAGGTGGATACTTCATGATCTAACATCCACAGATAGCTCCCGCACGCCATGCTTGTCTGCATGCAGAGATTCCATTGAAGGGTTCCCTCCACTCCACCCATGAAGATCCGGGTTAGAATTGATCTTCCGTAACCCATGCTTGTCGTAAGAGGTGAATAACAGTATCGGGTGGTCAAGCTCGCTGACTTGGTTGATACGTCATCATATGCCAATTGCTTAGATTGATGCTCATGCTGTTGATCACTGGATTATCTGGTCCAGACTCGCTTATTTACATACAGCCACCATATAGCTGGAATATTGCTGAGTGTTGCGTAAAGCTAAACTCACTCACACCCTGTACACCATGCTTGTCTCCCTTTTGGAATTCTAAAGAATTTCCTCAGTAACCCATACTTGTCTCCCTTAAGGGATTCCTTTGAAGGATTTTCAGCACACCATTCTTGTCTCCCCGGTGAGAATACTTGTTAGCTATCGACTCCCAGCAGCCTCTTCTGGCTTGCCTTTGCCAAGATCCCAGCACGCCTTTAGCTATAGCTGCAATACTGAAAGTCATCATACACTAATTTTGTATCCAAATCTGTATTGAGATGTACAATGTAATGTTCTATTGCAGGGTGGCTTGACACAACTCATCCAGTACTACCACGGCTTTCAGAAGGTTCTCTCGCAGGGACCGTTACGGAACTTCCAGATTCGAAACGAGCTCATCAACATCCACCATGTCATGGTAGAGGTGAAGAAATACAAGCCCAACTTCTGATGATGGCTGCCAGATATACTGGGGAGACCTTCTTCACAACCAGCACCTTGCAATAGACCATGTAGTGATCCACCAAGCATGGTTAGCAGCTGAACGATGACATTTCACTGTGATGAACTATGTGCTTGCTATGTGGATCAAATCGTTGTGTATTTACAGTTGAATACTCATACGAAAGCGCCTTTGAGCAGGACACATCTGGATAAATATACTATTATTATTATTATCAGTCCCTGATGACTGGATGTGTCATGTATCAGCCAGAGATGTGGCCCAAGGCTCCACTGTTCTCTGCACAGAGTCGTGTCCCTTTGGCATGTCAGGATCCTATGATTTGACCTGATTATGATACTTGGTTTCAGCTCAGTTTGCTTGTAGATTTAAGCAAAGTCATGAATGGCTAAAACCTGGTTCACCTTGAAGTGATGAACTGACATGGCGATATAATGAAGTACTGTCAGAATGGGCATTAAACCCAACTCACTCACTCATGTCCATCAAAATACCTGACAGAACACATTTACAATCATGTCCACTTTTATCATTACATTCCTGTAATACTGTAACATACCAGAGTTTCCAAGCAGCACTTTAAAGGGGCACTATTTAAAGGGGCACTGATCCAGAGCAGTTGATGTTTCACTCTAACTATCCAATTACAAATCCAAGCTGAAAGCTGGTCAGTCTCTGCTCCCTTGACCATGACGGACACTGGGACTGGGTTACTGTCCAACTTGGCAGAATTTCTTCAACCTAAACAGTGGGACATTAGGAAGGATGGATGCCCATCATTATTTGAAAATATCCTCTGCAGTTCTTGTCTGATAATAGTATCCCAGCAGTGTAGGCTTTTTCGGATTTTCTAATAGGTGGATGGTATTGTGACTGATCCAATTTGATCCTATTTCTGTGTTTTTTACCTCGATATTAATCACATCATGTAAAAATATGATGTCTGTTACCTATGAGATTAAAAACACACATTTGCTTTATTTGAATCAGTAAACTAAACAACACCACTTTTCCATTGCTAGAAAAATCTGAAAATTCACTACGGTTTACAGGTATATACAGTATTTAACTTAAAACCATAAGAAAAACTGTAACAAAAGCAACAACCAGTCCACGGAAGTGTCCCTTTGCTCTTGATCAGTGTCCCTTTAATGACATCAGGCCCCGATTGTTTCGAAACAAACTTAAGTCTGAGTTTCAACTTAAGTTAGAATTTTTCTCAAATTTGAGAAAATGCAAGAATAAACTCAAACTGGCAATTTGAGTCAACATCTGACAAACCCTGGTGGTAACATCAGGAAGTTTTCAGTGAACTTTTACCACCCAATCAAAATAACTGATGTTTCTGCAGTGGTTCAGCCTGCTTCTGATTGGTTAAACAAACAGGCATCCTCTATTTTGATTGGGTGGGAAAACCTCAGATTGGCATACAGAAGTGAGACTGTCATGATTTACCAGGAATAATTAAGTATGAACCTTACGCTCACGTGTAGAATGTTTTAGAATCAATATAAACAGTTCAAAAGAAGTTAAAGAACAGTTCTTCCCTGTTATTATATCACTAAAGAATCAGGGGTTCTTTTAGTTGAGTAGTATATCATGGCTCAAAGAAACTGGCTAATTGTGCTATTGTAGTACATATTTCTCTGTACATATAATCTCTGTATATGTAATGTGTATATATTGTTAGAATGTATAAGTATTAAAATATGTCAATCTATACATGTTTGTTTTGAAACTGAAAAATTGTTCAAAGCTGTGTTACACCGAATTAGTAAAACCTTCGATCAAGTGTAATTTTTCTAGTGTTATATATTAGAAATTAATGTCTGGTTGGGTATTGGGTGAGAATAGACCCCTGCAACCCATGCTTGTAATAGAAGTGACCTAATCGATCAGCGGTCTGTACTCTGGTGTAAGGAGAAAGGTCCATTTGAACTTTATGAGTTAAGATAGACGCCAGCAACCCATGTTAGTAATAGAAGTGACCTAATCGATCAAAAGTAAGAAAGGTTTCTTGGTCATTTTGTGTTAGAATAGGCTCCAGCAACCCATGTTAGTAATAGAAGTGACCTAATCGATCAGTGGTGAGTACTGTAGAAAGGTTTCTTCAGACATTCTGACTTAGGACAGACCCCAGCAACCTACACTGGTCCAAAGTGATCTCATTGTTAAGGTGGTCAGACTAGCTAGTTTGATGAAAAAATGACAGCAGTAATAGTACTCCTTGTTGACATCCTTAATCACTGTGGGCACAATGTGTGAAGCCCATTTCTGGTGTTCCCCGCCGTGGTATTGCTGGAATATTGCTAAAAGCGGCGTAAAACCATACTCACTCACTCACTCCTTAATCACTGGATCGTCTACAGTTATTTACAGGCCACTGTCAGAGAGCAAGAATATTGCTGAGTGTGGTGTTTAAAAACAACATTTTTGACACACTGTCCCCCAAAACAATTCTGATCAAGACTGAGGTCAATGTAAGTCTGGAATTGTTATAATAAACAGAAAATGTTTTAAAATAGGTAAGCTACAATGACATAGGAATTTCCAGCAAATGGAAATACCACTCCCGGGGATTTACCTTTCTATTTTTAGTAAGCCAATACTGTAAATTACCAGATTGAATGATTTTTTACCGCCGCACTCAGCAATATTCCAGCTATATGGCGGCAGTCTGTAAATAATCCAGTCTCGACCAGACAATCCAGTGATCAACAGCATGAGCATTTTTCTATGCAGATGGGATATGATGACATGTGTCAACCAAGTCAGGGAACCTGACCACCCGATCCTGTTAGTCGCCTCTTACAACAAGCATAGGTTACTGAAGATCAATTCTAACCCGGATTTTCACGAGACATGAATTACCAGACCTGCCTTGAGTCAACTGACACGTGACTGCTTGGCCATGAAATTTCTGTATTAAATATAAATTCATAACCCAAACAAAACAGTGATACCATTTAATATTTATTAATATTCAACAGCCAACTTCCACAATGTTACAAAAAGCAAATGTGACAACGTGAGTCTGGGCTTAATATCGACATGAAGACAGGTGTGTATATACATCTGAAATACTGAACACTGTATTCCAGCTGACCGGTTCATGCAACTGCCACTGTACAGAACAACCTGGACTCGCGTCAACAACAATATATATACAACTAAGTAACGTTGTCAGCAACTACCTGTATCACGTGGAAACAATGAAGTTAACAATGATGTGAATCTTAACAATAATCATAAATTAACATAAATATTTCATCAACAATGAACAATTGGCCAAAGTTCAAATTAAGCACGGTCTCCTTAAATAGAAATCTTGAGTTTGAAATACCAAAGATTCCGCACATCAGTCCTAAGACCTGAATATAAAACATCTGTAGAAACAATCAATAAAACTGATGTAAAATGCCACAACAGGCCAAAGCTTTGCCTCTCAAGCAATGCTACAATTAACGATACAGTACATCAAGGTACCTTTCCAGTTAGCACCCTTAGATTAGAACACAAACATTTCCACATTACTTACTGCAAGTTCATCAAAATCACTCTCTTATCTTTCTTATTCTTATATCAATGGAGGGGCAAGAATTTAAACCAGATTTTATCAAAGTGGCCGAGATATTCTCCAACAAGCACGCCCTTGGACACCTAAGGTGTTTCTAGGTGCTTTACCCCACCATACAGTAAATCACTCTAAATGTATTTAAAGGCTGAAGATAAGGTCCCCTTTTCACAAAGCTATCGTAGCGCTACGACTGTCGTAAGTCTATGTTACAGTATAGGACGGTATTGTTACGAGAAAAGTTACGATATCTCTTACAAGAGCTTTGTGTAATGGGGCCATGGTCCTTATAAGAACGGTCTCTAGTAGATAACAAAAATAATAATATTTGCAGTTCAACACAGGAGCTTGGCTACATTATATAACATGAGAAGTTCCAGTTTCACTGAACTAATATGCTCAAGGAGCATTAGAACAAGTTTAATGGTGCCTGATACTCTGTAAATACCTACATAAAATAACAGTCATCAATAATATAAACAAAAACAAGCAATGACTCTAATATTAGTACTGGAATGTCCTATTCTAACAATTGAGTCCACACAAGTGATTTTACCACAGCTTCCAGCTAACACTAATTTTCTCAGTTTTATCACAGCATGTAACTCATAAAGTTCAGGAAATCGGTGAGAAAGATAAAGTTTTCAAATTACATTTTACTTAAGTCTTAAAAAGCATAATTTTATCAAATGTATTTCAGTTTGAATAATGATTGCTGTAATGTTCTGAAAGGTATCTTCATCTTAGATGCTTGCTGCATGTTGTAAGTTGTGTTGGTGCATACAACACAATTTCCTCATGATTTCCTTCTTCATGGAACCTCTGCAGTTTTTAGTTGATATTGTGATAAAAAAATCATGATTACCCACACATAAAGTTCAGGATATGTCAGTCCCTAACATGCTTTGAAGATGTATTCAAGAATTTAAAATATAATAATATGTGACACATGTTCAATATAGTCCATTTGGCACAAAAACATTGGCAAATTTGCCATTTGAAAACTTAGCGAGAGTTTTACAACCTATGAGAACTCATTTCACTTGAATTGTTTCAAACTTTACCTGGTGTGATTGAAGCAATCATTTTTCAAACATGCAATCATGTCTTGAACAAAACAGTTTCTAATTCATTGACCAGGGGTGTTCCAATGCCAAAATTTCCCACTTGCCCAAATGCAATTAAACTCAAAACATCTACTTCCCTGCATAATCAGAGAAAAAGAAAAAACATCCATTTTGTCCCTGAATTGTAAACTGAAGCAATGGCTAATGGGAGATGTTCAGAGTAGAAAAACAACCAGTCAAGTTCTCTCACTTCCGTACAAAAACACATGGTGCATCTTCAGTTACAAAATTAATAAAGCTGTCTTTCAAACTTGCCAAGTTGCAACTAAACGTATATTTTACCACTTGCCTGGCACTTTATTTTCAAAGGTCAGGCATCCTAACTGAACACCCCTGCTTTGACAAAATTAATCTTCTTGCATATGATTTCTGTTTCTGGATGAACTTAACAATGACGTATATTACAATGATAGACATGTTTCTCTAAAATAAATATGAAGATTTCAAGAAAGATATAAAATTCAAACTTTCTCACATATTCTGAAACCACCATACAAACAATGGGTTGTTAACAGATAGACCAAAGTGTATTATGATATAAATGGAGTTATCTCCCTTGAACACATTTTTCGTTCAGTAAGAGACAGAATGTGAAGACAAAGGCACTTGATGATAAGTATCTACTGCATGAACCAGTAGTTTAAGGCTACAGTGGAGAACTGAGATACGTCAACATCCATTCATAACTACTCGCCTCTTTCCGTGACCTACAAGAAGACTCGTACTCCTATCGTACGCCATTATTGCCTAGAATCATGGCAAACCAAACAAATCGCAAGAAGTAAAACTCATTTTGAAGCATGAAAATGGCGGCACCATTGAACTTTGAAACTTCGCTAAACTATGCAAAGCACAATTTAAACATAAACTTTGAGCCAAAGGATCAGAAACTTTAAACACTGAAACATATTTACAAAGGGAATGACTGTATTGCTGTTTTGCCCACGGGATATAGGATATTCTAGGATCCATGTTTGGAAATTCAGAGTTATCTTTCCTTGGCAGTAGTACTATACTATTTTCATCTGGATGCCCATTTGTGCTTAGACAGGGCCCAGTCGTAAACATGAGAGGGGTATGAGACGCCATCCGGCTTGCCGGAATGACACGAGTAGTTACGAATGGTCAACATCCTTTCAGAGGGAGCTGGGCTGCATTCCTCACCGTACAACCACATATGAAAGCTGCATTAAAGACATGTTTCTAGAGCACCCTTTCTCCAAATGAGGAGCGAGGTAGGACAATTTGATACTTTTCAGTGAAAAATGTTGAGAAAAGAACATCATACTCTCTTATTCCCATGAATAGTATACCAAAAAACAATGGGAACATATTTAACCTGGTTCTTACGTAAACAAAACAATATTTCTGTTCATTTTTGGATTACAGAGCCTGCTTCAGATGAGGCGTAATTGTGCAAAATTTCATATTTTCAACCAAAACGCAGGATTTATAGTTTCCATTTAGATGCCCGAGAAACACTTCCTTTTTCAAACCTAAATATGGATTCGACAAATATCCATGCACTTGTGTAATCATGTGGTTCCTGCTTGTGTCGTCCATAGTTGGTAGGAAACATAACACTTGACTCTAGAGAATGGTTTCTGATGACAAGAAAATAACCAGCAGACTGATGAATGTCCTCTAACTACACTAGATCCTGCATGCAAGGCACACATATGATTGTCATGGTTATAGTGAGATACACATGATAGGTAGATGAACTTGGTGCCCTTGTACAAAGCGATCTTAGCGTTAACTCCCATACCTTCACATAGGCTTAAGGTAGCCTTAGCGCTAAGGTTGTTTTTTACAACGGCACCCTGGTCTCAGCGTATTCTAACCTGATTAATATTTTCAGTATCTTGAATGATTGAGAATGTTCCATGAATGTTGGAAGTGTAAGCACTGGAGATAAATATTTGTCATGATAGTTCAATATTTCCATCACTTAAAGACACTGAACAATGAAATATATCTACAGTCGTGAAATGATATGAAGTACAATGATCAAAATATACAGATATTACAATGGAAACACTAAATATACTGATCATGAGATCAAAAGTTTGCTGCAAACACGAGAGTTATCTCCCATTGAAAGTTATCTCCCTTTTAAGAACAGAAGGACAAAATATGGTAAAGACCCATTTTGGTTTATAGGATCTGCATTATTAAAGAATCTATCAAAACTTTCACAAATACTTATGAAAATTATCAGATGTGTTTATATGAATGAGTACCTTAGTACATTCCAACAATTACATGATTGGGATCTTTGAACATGAACAAAACGCCCTGATAAAGCTTTTAGTGAAAGGGGGTTTGACTTTAATACTTAGTCAATTTACTAATCTTGCTGTTGTGTCTTAAAACATTTCATCAAATTATTTGGTAATGTTTATGCACACATCAACATGAAAACAAAGCTTCAAAATGGGGTTTAGGTAAGGTGGGAACGCCTAGTGGTTAAAGTGTTCATCCATCACGCCGAAGGCCTGGGTTCGATTCCCTACATAGGCACAATGTGTGAAGTCCATTTCTGGTGTCTCCCGCTGTGATATTGCTGGAATATTGCTAAAAGCGACGTAAAATCCAACTCACTCACTCACTCACTCAAAATGGGGTTGTGCAGGACTGGCGTACAAGTCATTCATTTACCTCGTTTTTTAAGAGATGCCCATAAACAGCAATACCATTTGGTATAACTTTAATCTTGCTCACTGACAATACTTTTGTCTTGACTTGATGATACTATGTACTTGATGATAACAGAAATTAAACTTTCAAGGATCTTTTGTCAGTTATGTGAATATTATGCACCGGATAATTTTCATAACAGAATTTCAGATTTTTCCGCAGCTGTCAAATCTGACATTTCCAGAGGCAAAATGGGTGTTTATCCTATTTCATCCTTCCAGTAGCCTGTCCATGAGACAATAATGGTCCTATGCCCTACTAACACATATGAATACAAGAACATTCGTGCTCTGATTTCTACAACTAGATACACGATGTTACTGACATGTTTTTAAAACTATCATTTTTCAGTATAATGTCAAGGCACTTTACCCCCACTGTTATTGTGTGAAAAAGGAATATGACAATATATTTGAGATAATGTTTACCTACACAACAGAACAATGATTCCCTGTTAAAGTCACAACAATTTACATACACAAGCTCCTGCGTAAATATGGAAAAAACATCTTACAAAATATTCAACTCTGGACATACACAGAATGCATGTATGAAAAAGACATAAATGACACTTGAGAATTTTCCCCATTAAATTACATCTTATTCTCCAAGGAATAAAATCTTGATAAAATCAGAAACTAGTTATTCTCCAAAGAATAAGGTTGTTTTATCTTGAAACAACTTGAACACTCAACAAAATGCATTTTTCCCTATTTCCTAATTAATCATAACTTCTTAAAAAGTGTATCCAAGAGTTTATACCTGCATGTTTATTGAAAGGATACATTTTCAAAGTAGAACCATGTTTACAAGTATCCTTTCATGTAAGAAAAATGGTTCATATACCCATGAAGATACAAGTTAGACTTGGTCTGCAGCTACTCATGCCAGTTTCTATGCTAAGGTAAACCCAAGAAAATAGTACAGTGGTACTGATTGCGTGAACTTTCTAAAATTCTAAGATGAGACAACACTACAGTCCTTTTGTTTTTTTCAAATTTCTAAACCAATTACAAAAAATTCAATAACTCATAAATTTACATACCAAATGTGAAATCAACAATGTTATCACTTACTTCCAAAGATCTACATGTTCATAACTGGAATACTGTTCAAATTGCCGTGATTTTGTTTTGTTTTATGAAGAAGTTAGTCTTTTTTATGAACTTACAAATAAATAAAATAATAATGAGCTCTGTTCAAAAATGAGTCAAATCCTACTACAACCTGCTGGTATTAACAAATGTTACATGTACAATACATCATCAAGGTACAGTGCTCCTCTTTTTAGAATTATAGGAGAACTAAAACAAGACGCGTTGCTGTCATCAATGAGAGTTTTGAGTTACGACTGACTGACGAGGGGCTACGACCCTTGACATCAATGAATATGGGGAATGTCAGATGATCTATAAATGTATTGTATTGATTTCAGCTAGCCATGAGACTACACATCAAACAAAGCCAGAAATAGAATTGTCTGTTAAGAGCATTACTTGATAAGCCGAGATCTCCAAGGTGTGGCTGAGCCTCATCTACGGACTTAGGGCGTGTCCACAATGGTTTTACAATAACTCTATTATTTTTTCAGCTAGATATTACTTTTGAACCAGGCAATATCTAAGAGAACTTAATGAGTTATTCTATAAAATATATATATAAGTATGTATAGTTAAGAGTCAATTCAACTTCCTCACATTTTGTAATAATGTACTTACATTCTGGACAAAGAAATTCAACCTAACATATCAATATTTCTGATTGTGATTTTTGCTCCTGTTCATGGATCCTGTGAACCATAAAATACAAACGTGGCTTATGTCATGGCCTGCCCACTTGGGTTGTGTCTGCCTTACGCGTGTGGTCCTGGTTACATATAGAAGACTAAGGCCTGAGTTTGGTTTTATGTGTGGTCCTGATTTCCAGCTACATCAATGGTAGGGTTTTTATAGAAAGAAGGATAGGTAGATAGGTATGTTTTGAGGTTATTGTTTTTAACAATTTAGATCTATAGTTCAATAAGGCAACAAAAATTGTAAAAAGCTGTGCTGTGCTTTGTGTCTGTAACATTTTATGAGATATAATTTCCTGTCATGTACTTGTCTCAAGTTAAAATGTATTTAGATAAACAAAAATTTCTAAGAGTGAAGCTTAAATCTGTCTTAAAGCTTTAAGAGACAGAACAACTTGTTTAATATAATGAAATCTGGTTTAAAAATTTGTACTTAATGATTTTTATTGTAATTGTTTACATTAGCATGTGATAGTTTTGTTAATCATTTTATACACACAGCTATCAAAATTTTCAAAATTTGATCTTTTCCTTTGCAGAGAACTTTGTAAGTTCTGACAAGGTTGCTAATGGATACAAACAGTATTAAAATCAAAAACACAATATTTTAATTAGCCAAAAACATTTGTAATTAGTAATTACCCCATTAAAGTATTATTAAGTGCATACACATCCTCACTTTCATGAAACTGTTTGAGATTTTCATGACAATTTGTCTCTGCCATGCCAGTGTTTTTTACGGTATGTTAATGTATGACCTGTCTATAGCCATTAATTTCCTTTTAAATTGGAACTACAAGTTTGTCCCTGTTTAAACCACAAGATATATTTTGTTGGCTTACTTACACTAGTGTCAGCAGAGTTTTATTGTTTGCTCAACTGGTCTATACAGCCTGCTTTTGGAGCGAGTAATCTGGTCTATACAGCCTGCTATTGGAGCGAGTAATCTGGTCTATACAGCCTGCTATTGGAGCGAGTAATCTGGTCTATACAGCCTGCTATTGGAGCGAGTAATCTGGTCTATACAGCCTGCTATTGAGCGTAAGTAATCTGGTCTATACAGCCTGCTATTGGAGCGAGTAATCTGGTCTATACAGCCTGCTATTGGAGCGAGTAATCTGGTCTATACAGCCTGCTATTGGAGCGAGTAATCTGGTCTATACAGCCAGCTATTGGAGCGAGTAATCTGGTCTATACAGCCAGCTATTGGAGCGAGTAATCTGGTCTATACAGCTAGCTATTGGAGCGAGTAATCTGGTCTATACAGCCTGCTATTGGAGTGAGTAATCTGGGTTTAACACAGCATTGAACAATATTTCAGTTACATCACAGCACGCCAGCTTGATGCAGGAGGACCACCCTGAATGCGGGTCTTCGACGTTTGCCCTTTCTGTGAAAACCATAGTCTAGGCATGGTGCTGACAAACCCACTAACTTCTATCATACCAAATATGGGATTCGAACCCAGAAAACTAGGAACTAGCATGCTAAATGAAGGATTGAATGAACTTGCAGATTTACACAGCCAATGATTTGGATTAACACATAATGGTTATCTCCCTTTGCCTGAACTTGTTTACAATACACTAGTCTACAGCGACCCATCAGATGAATTCAGCCTTCATTGTTCTCTGTAGTATAGATTTAACATATATATTTTATAATTGATGATAGGAGTAAAAATGAGATTGTCTTGTTTAAATCGGAAAACTATCATCACTGTATAAAACATTTCTATCACATGTGACATATATGTAAATAAATTAGCAGAAACTTCATTTCTGAAAACATTTTTGTAATAACAATTTCAGATAACTATACAAGTTCATGTGAAATATTTACAAACAGATCATGTATCGACATCAATGTACGTGAAATTTACAAAACTTTTAACAATGGTCTTCATCACTTTCCATAAAAAACACCATCTTGTCAGATTGTCCAGGAAACAACAGACGTACAGAGAACACAATGATTCAAGAGTTGAGGAGGAATGGGATATATATCATCTTGCTCTTCAGGAGGAGGGAGGATGCAGCTTGTATCTGTGGCAACTGCAGCAACAGCTCCCCGAAGCGGTTTGGTTCGTTGGGATAATGTGTGTAGACGTACGTCTGCAGCCCGGTCATGTAGCGGTCCTGCACCTTCTCCATAACCTGACTGGGATTTGCATCATCTACACGAGGAAACAGGAGATTAGGGGTGTCACAAGGTAGCAGCAGTGGGAGCCGGACTAACTTTCCAAGCCTCACCACATAAACACACTTATTCTTATGTATCTTTGAGCTCGTCTCACAATGCAAACTTTATTTTCACGACTATTTATTTCTTTTTGTATGGGTACCATACATATTTCAACACATACTTTCATATATATATACATATATGTAGTACATATACTGTACACATGTTACTTTGCTTATACATGGTATGCATTTTCATTCAAATATACCAAATACAATATATATAATTAAGTAAATTATGTAAAACAGATTATATGAAAAGGCCGTGGCATACAGACTTACAACCTACTGATTTATTATGAACTGTGGAAACTTATAGTGAGCTTGAAACTTGCCATGAAATATAGACTTGTCCTGAATTTCAATAATGAATTCTAGAGACTTATCATGAACTATAGAGACTTGCCATCGTGAATTCTAGAGATTAATCATGAACTATAGACTTGCCATCATGACTTCTAGAGATTTATCATCAATAGAGACTTGCCATCATGAATTCTAGAGACTTATAGTCATAGAGACTTGCCATCATATAATACAGACGTTTCATAAACACCTGTAATTTCCGAGACTAGTCATCATGAACTTAGGAGGCATGTCATCATCATGGTAATCATTGGGTCTGTCCAGGATCAATGAGACACAAGAGTCAAGGCTACTTACTGTGATTTAACAGAAGGATGATCTGCAGGCACACATATTCCTGGAGTGACAGTGACATCTGGTAGAATGATGACATGATGTGGGTCACCTTCTCCATCACGTCGCCAATCTCGGAATGCAGCTGGTCGATGGAGAACGACTTCCCAAAAGTGTTGTTCAGATACCACTGCATTTTCTGCATGTTACGTTGGTACAGGTCATTGTACGATGGAGTCTCATCTTCGGGCTTTGTATTCACGGCTCCGTACGCTGTCATTATCAGGAGCAGAAGCTCATGCCATTTGTTGGTTAGAATCTGAGACTGAACATCCACAGGGATTTCCCTATAGAATGGCAGCTGTCTGATCCATTGGACCAGCTTCACAACAATATCGTCCCCGATTTTACACAAGGTCTGAGCTACGGAGTCCTCGCTGCCTGCGAACTGGTCGATGCGATACGATTCCGCAATGCCCAGTAAAGAGTCAACATGCATGAGTTCATCTATGAGATGTTCTGAGTCAGGATTGCTGTTAGGGCTGAGAGCTTGGTATGACGTTGACGACGTGTTGGACACGGGGGACAACAGAGCTGTGCTCTGGTAGGAACCTGGGGAGTCCATGAACGATCGCTCATCACCATGCGTGTGACTGCTATCATCAACACTCATGCGAGACTCAGTGTCAGTATGGACTTGCGTATTCAGAATGCGGAGCTGTGTGTCACTTCTCCGATCGTACATTTCACTTCCTGGGAACATGTGCATGTTTTCTTTTATCGTCATCGGCGGTATGGCATTTCTCATCACAAGAGCTTGTGAGTTTTTCACAGAGTGAGTCTGATTGAGTGGCATGTTCTGAGATCTCTTGGCAACAGCTGGCCAGTTTATCGGTTCCTTGTAACTCCCGGTAACTGCCTCTGTGGCGATTTGACCATCGCAATTCACCTTGATCTGTGCCACTCTTTGCTTGTACATTCGCCCACTTGCATCACGCCGCTTATGTTTCTTGTACTTTACCTTAGAGAGAAACAAATTGTTAGACATCATGATCAGTTAGTGGAACTCCTACCGACACTATGGTCAAACATGTACATGATGAACACTCAATTTTTATTAAGTTTTGAACATATTTTTAATAGTTAATACTTTTAGAATAAATCTGCAAAATAAAACAGATTCTTTGCATGCAACTTTTCTCTCTTCTGTCTATGTGCAAGGAAAAACTAGAATTTTTTTATTTTATGCCAACTAATTACTTACTCATGAAATATACCCAAGTTTCTAGCCTTTAGATCTTATTATTACATACCCATATAATCTTATGATAGCAATACAGCCATGCAATAGGCTTAGGTGAATTCCATATTACACTCCGATTTCCGTATTGCATGGCTGCCTGATTTTCCCACTGTTCGGCTGTACTCAGATCCTTCCATTAACATCATAATAAAAACATTATTTAGGTCATTGGTATTCCCATTTTAATGTGATCTCTACTTAAGAATTTGTTTTGTGTCAAATATTTTTTCTGTATTGTTTCTTTGTGATCAGATCCCTTGATTGTTGACGTCAACTGGAGTAATACTATCTCAAGTATGTATACATGTAAGATACGTCATGTGCGATACAGAGTCATACTCAGATCATGGTAACCTCAATGTGAAAGTTTCAATAGTGAAGTTAGAGTTAGATTAAAACAGTCTGTATTATTACGAATTGGTACGTAACAAATATAGGACTGAAAGATGTCATGCAAGGATAGAAACAACTCGTTCCTCGAACTCATTTCGAAGACAACTTCTTGACTAATACATAAGGTCCAAACAATCAAGTATGACGTTCAATAATAACGTGTAAAATTAGTTTAAAACAGTCTGGGTATGCAATAAATAAAGAATGTGACACTGAGTGAGTGAGTGAGTTTAGTTCTATGCCGCACTCAGCAATATTCAAGCTATATGGTGGCGTTCTGTGAATAATCGAGTCTGGACCAGACAATCCAGTGATCAACTGCATGAGCATCGATCTACGCAATTGGGAACCAATGACATGTGTCAACCAAGCCAGCGAGTCTGACCACCCGATCCTGTTAGTCCCTGTTACGACAAGCATGGGTTACTGAAGATCAATATTCTAACCCGGATCTTCACGGGTCTGTGAGGATAAAAACAACTCATTCTTCTAACTCATTTTTCCCTTTCCAATGACATCTTCTCGTTCAATACGTAAGGTCCAAATCACACGTATGAAGTTCTACATATTGATTACATCAGTGAGTTGACAAGGTTTTAAAAGCATTTCTGTTTAAACTGTAAAGTTTTTTATCCTTCATTGTGTTACCAGACCCATCGGTGAATATCATTTCTTCAAGCATACACAATTTCAAGGGTTGCCCGCTTCCTTTCACGGAGGCTGACAATATTCTTTTTTCAGGTTTTTATTACAAATTTCGTATGTTGATAATATATACATTGAAGGTGTTCCAGCCTTCATGATGTGTTCATCATATTTTTTGTGGTGTCATCTAACGTATACTATCACAAGGTATGGATGACAGAAAACATGAATTCTATGATCATTTTTCTGGCAACCGGAACATTATTTTAACCTATGCTTTTAATCTTTATTATGTAATCAATATCACACCATAGCAGAAGGATTAGAAAGCATGAAAATAAGTGCAAAAACAAGAGTCTTCAAAAAGAGACATTTTTCAAATCATTCAGAAAAGTTCAGCGTTGGTTGGGTGATGGGTTTAGTAAATGGGAAACATGCTGTCACAGGGGCGGGACTTTAACCAGCACATGAAACAGGATTGATAGAAAGGTTAATGTTACACAGCTTTTGAAATATACAATTAAATATAATCAAAAGTGCAAAAAAAATAGACCAAAAATAAATCATGCACATTTCAATCATGCATCCCCCAAAAAAAAAATAAATAAAAATAATGGATTAATGGTTACCCTAACCCCCTAATCTATCTTTGTGAAAGGGCACCCTAGGCTATCCAGTGAGTGCATAAATAAATCATCTGAATCAAGCATAAGACAATGACAGAACTGGTATAGGAGACTTGGTTTAATGGTGGAACACTTACCTTGTAGAGGTTGTACACTGCTCCTGAGTTTCTACCACCTGGCATTCGGTCTTCTCGCACAGCTGGAAATATCACACATCCATTAGGTTTGTGTCAAGTTGCATTTGTACACTATAAGCCTGACTAATAGACTCGTATGGACGGTAGGGGTGCATGAAAGAATAGGTCGATGGCTGGAAACGTGGGATGTTATGGTGAACTCAGCTGAAAAGGTGCCGATGGAAGGATCGATTGAGGTGGATGGGTGGAGATGGTGCGAGGGTACTGGTGAAGTGGACAGATGGAAAAGGTGTGAGTGAGTGAGTGAGTGAGTGAGTTTAGATTTATGCCACTTTTAGCAATATGCCAGCAATATCACAGCAGGGGACACCAGAAATGGGCTTCACACATTGTACCCATGGGAATCGAACCCAGGTCTTCGGTGTGCCGAGCGAACGCTTTAACCACTAGGCTACCCCACCGTCCAGGAAAAGGTGGGAGGGTTGGGGAGGTGGATGAGTAGAAATGGTGGGAGATTGAGATGAGGTTGATGATTGAGAATGGTGCATAATAGTTTTTACAGAAATTTTGGAAGCAGATGGTGAATGAAAGGGTGATGTAGATAAGTGAAGAAATGCGTTGGCTGGTTGACATGGCTGGGATAATGGGTGCGTATAGTTGAAGTTGAACACCTAAGCATGGTGAACAAAAAAGCAAGGTCGATGGGTTGTATGGTTAATGGGTGTGGTTGGGTGGAGCTGCTGAACGACTTTTTGAGGCGAGATATGACAACAATTACAATGTACATGATTTCTTTGCAAATTATTATTCAGATTAGCCAAAGGTAACAATAATAATCATAAGCATCCAAGTGTTAGTGATAAATGTATTGTTCCCTGTTTCAACCAGGAAGCGTGATATAGGTCAAGCGGCCAATGACCCACCGGAGATTGTACAACAATGTGCAACTATGTCTGTTTCCGTAACACTGTTTACAAACAAACATTCCTCCAGGCATTCGCTACATGTAAACGCCTAAAGACCAAACATGACAATGGATTTCAGAGAAGCCCACATTTGAACTACATTGTTTAGACTTTGTGAGAAGCAGCTTCGAGCCAAACAATGACTGGTCCCCAGCTTAGTGTTAATCTGAGGCCTGATATGGAGAATATTAAACAAACTAAGGCGGATATTTGTCAAGTCTAGTCCAACACCTTTCGCTCCAAACATATAATAGGAAGTGTCACATTTCCAGAGACACGGCTCTGATTGTGTAGAAATTTGCTCGCAACCAAAGAAACGTTTCGCCGACAGTGTTTGTCTTTAGCGACCATAATTGATTCAATCGTTTCCACCCATTTCTAAACAGAAAATTCTTGACACGATTTACAAAAGGAAATTGGGGAACTTGTATTCAAACCTCTTGAAATCTGTTGTTCTACAGATTGTTTATTGAATAGAGAAGAATAACATGAAACACTATGTAAAGAAGAACATGAAATGCCACCTCAAGAAATCATGCCGATGGTGACAGCCGTTGAATATTGAATTTTAAAATGTTTTTCATCAAACAAAACATTTTATGAAAGATTTTTTATTTCAATGCAATTACTGATTGAGCAATATCTCCCTTTTTAATATTACCCATTGAGTGAGTGAGTGAGTGAGGGTGAAAAAGAATGGTTTTACGCCACCTTTAACGATATTATTCAGCAAGATCAAAGGGGGGACACCAGAAATGGGCTTCACACATTGTACCCATATGGGGAATCAAACCCAGGGATTCAGCATGACGAGCGAACGCCTTAACCACTAGGCTCCCCACCACCCCTTATTAGCCATTGAAGGGATAAAGGTCTAGAGTTACGACCTTATAATATTTGTATGTGCAGTCCAGAAATTCTTAATGTTGACAGGCGAGGTTAACCACTATGATATCACACACCTTCAATGTTGAACCAATATGACATGACATTATCTATTGTTCATGACACATATTGATTATATTGTGTCACATGAACCAGAGGCTGTGTAAGCATAGGACTTTATATTTTCTTAATTTTCTTTATTAAAATGAAAATGAGTTAAATTAAGATTAGCCTACTCACAAAATCTGGCGGACTATGCCACTGATTTCGGACATCTTGTCCAGAAGGGTGATTGGGTAGCTTGGCAGTTTTTTTTCTCTTGTCACGCCAATGACCTGGGTTCGATTCTCAACATGGGTACAATGTGCGAACCCCATTTCTGGTGTCCCCTACCATGAAAATACTGGAATATTGCAAAAGGTGGCAAAAAACCTCATTCACTCACTCACTCTAATCCATAAGCTCACATGATCAAATTTCTCAATCAGTAGTCAGGTCATCCAACAACCTACCTGCTAGAACCATGCCCATCTGGAGACATTTCTTGAAGCGACAATACTGACAGCGGTTCCGCTGAGCCTTGTTGATTTCACAGTCGCCGTCAGACACACAGGTGTACACCCTCTTGTTCTGGACTGTCCGCTTGAAGAAACCCTTGCATCTGAAGTCAATTTAATAAATGTCAAACTCCCAAACCAGGAAATGGCCTCACAAAACTAGGACGATCATAACTCCCATACTTTAACATAGACTTATTTCAGTCGTAGTACAGAGATGATCGTAACTCCCATACTTTAACATAGACTTATTTCAGTCGTAGTACAGAGATGATCGTAACTCCCATACTGTAACATAGACTTATTTCGGTTGTAGTACAGAGATGATCGTAACTCCCATACTTTAACATAGACTTATTTCAGTTGTAGTACAGAGATGATCGTTAACTCCCGTGACTTATTTCAGTCGAGTACAGAGGTGATCGCGAACTCCCATACTTTAACGCCGAACTTATTTCAGCCAGAGAGATGATCGTGAACTCCCATACTTTAACGTCGATTTATTTCAGTCGTAGTATGGAGATGATCGCAACTCACATACTTTAACATAGACTTATGTCGGTCGTAGTACAGAGATGATCGTAACTCACATACTTTAACATAGATTTGTGTTGATAGTGTTACACCAGTTCTTTACCAGAAGCAGAATCTGCACTGAAGTACTCATTCATGAAATACAGGACGATGTCTGGACAAATGTCACCAAACATCCCCTAAAAATGCTTTCATAGTTAAAAAAATGCCCTGTCTTGTAGAAGTGACTTTCACCTCACTGATAACAGAAGGAGAAACATGTTTTCACATGTACAAGATTACTGCACAGAGTGCAATGTAACAACACAATATTGAAATATCACGGAGTTTAAAATATTTAAACCATCAAAGACAAATCTCTATGGAGAAGAAACCTTAAAACTTATATTGAAAAAACACCTGTGCACAGGAGATTAATCTCAAAATAAGTTAGTAAGTTAGTAACTCCATCACTGAACAAAGAGATGTATGCCTTGTATAGGTTTAGCAACTGGGTGGGACTCAAAAGGATATTATCCAGATTATTAGAAAATCTTTCGTGTTAGTCGCCTCTTACGACAAGCATGGGTTACTGAAGATCAATATTCTAACCCGGACCTGCACGGGTATATAACAAACTTGAACAGCATTTGCCTTTTACACTCTTTTTAAGAAACTTGGTAAAATACGTATTTGACAGAGAACACAATTGTAGTTGTTGTGATAATAATAAGTAAGAAATATAAGTTAAATAGCAATTGTTTCATACCATGTAGTGGACGAAATGCAATACTTTTGTACTTGTGTGAGTAAAAGTAATGACAAGTTATTGTCACTCAGCTACTCTGACTCAAAAACTAAGCTTGTAATGTTTTCCTATCAAAATATAACAAGAAGACCAAGTCATCAATATCCCCCTCAATGGTAGAATATTCTTCATGAATATGTCAACCAGCTATGGCAAATATTGTAATGTACACATAGACCCTCATCATTAAGATCTGTTGATACTGGAAATGGAGTGGTACTGTTGATTTATGTCATTAGGTTCTTGAATACCCACAAAGTGGAAGGAGAGTTCGCCACCAGACCTATCTATGTGCCAAGTTGGTGGGAAAATATTCAATGGTTTTAGAGTTCTGCTCCAAAAAAGAGCACCAACACCAATTTCAGTCTAAGTCAAACTTGTTGCCATGGAAATGCAAAAAAAATATTATATTCAGAAATCCAAAACTACCAATAGGCACCAGTTCACCACCAGACCTATCAATGTGCCAAGTTTGGTGAAGAAATATTCAACAGTTTTAAAGTTCTGCTCCAGAAAAGACAAATTTGCACAGACAGGACGGAGTCCATTTTAATACCCTTGCAAAATGTGTTCAGAGGGCAATATATATAAACATGCATTTTTTCCAAAACCCAAATTAATTATTCTTATAATCCATCTGTGTAATACTATTACATAATATAGGTCAGTAATGTATTTCAAAGGGCTACTTCTATTTTTGCTCACTATTCAAATAGTGAGGAAAACAATCCTTAAGAATGAAAAAGTCATCTTTGCAATCAAAGTATTCTCACCAAGAACAAACACCAAAATAAGGGCACCTGCAACAAATTCTGAACTCTCTAAATTCAAAATAGATTGTCACCTGTCTTATTCAAAAATGCTTTTCTCTGAGTTATTTTTGTATTTCAAAGACACTTCCGCAGTTCTTGGCATTCAATGTGCCTTGTTTTTATGGACCTATGGTTTAGCATGTCTTACATTTGGGTTGGAGTCTAACAGTGACCCTGTGTTAGCTCCACCCCATGTCGACGCTCTGCTTTCTTGGCAAATATAAACAGTGCTGGCGGCCTTGGTGTGGCTATGCCTGGGAGCCTCTAATACCTTGGCCTGGGCTTGTAAAGACGGTAAAGGAGCACATTAACTTATTTCATTGGGTAACGGATTTCAATTACCTTAACTGGCTCAACACTGGCTGAGAATAACTTTTTCTTTTCCTGAATATTCCCTAAAGAGTATTTGGGGATTTTGCTTGAGCCCAAACCAAAAACAGTTTTGCCCCAGGGACTGGATTTAGTTAGTGATAAAAGACACACAAATATTTGCAATTTCTTTCAAAGACCTTGGTGAAAGGTCAGTATTTGCTTAGTCCACAAAAGGATCATTTTTCTTGGTTTACATATCTGCTGACCTTAGAGTTTGCAATACATTTCACAGCACATACCCAAGTTTTGCAATATACTGCAATACATTTCACAGCACAGACCTAAGTTTTGCAATATACTGCAATACATTTCACAGCACAGACCTAAGTTTTGCAATATACTGCAATACATTTCACAGCACAGACCTAAGTTTTGCAATATACTGCAATACATTTCACAGCACAGACCTAAGTTTTGCAATATACTGCAATACATTTCACAGCACAGACCTAAGTTTTGCAATATACTGCAATACATTTCACAGCACAGACCTAAGTTTTGCAATATACTGCAATACAATTTCACAGCACAGACCTAAGTTTTGCAATATACTGCAATATATTTCACAGCACAGACCTAAGTTTTGCAATATACTGCAATACATTTCACAGCACAGACCTAAGTTTTGCAATATACTGCAATACATTTCACAACACAGACCTAAGTTTTGCAATATACTGCAATACATTTCACAGCACAGACCTAAGTTTTGCAATATACTGCAATACAATCCATGGGACACTCACCCTTCACATGTGATGATTCCATAGTGCAGACCTGTCGCCCTGTCATTACAAATGGCACAGATCATTTGTTCTTCTGGATCAGAATCATAGTCTTTGTGCTCTGACTGGTCTGTCGAGCGGTCATTTGGGCGAATGTCCTTTTCAGCCAAGTGACCGCTATATACAAACTTGCCGTTCGTATAATGAGCAATAAAGTCTTGTTCCTTGCAGAACTTTTCATTCCCTGTTGCCTTTGAAGATTTGAAGTTACTTGAACTGTCCAGCTTTTGTGGGCTGGATCCAGATACTGGGTTTATGTGGCTTCCACTGCTGGTTGGGAGGTTGAATAGTGGCACATTTTTATCCATCATCGTCCCACTGCTTGAAAACATGAACCCAGTAGGGGGGCTGCAACAAACATAGGAGTTGACATGTTGGGCAGCGATGCGGCATCAACCCCGGCATGGTGCCCATGACCGGGATGAATCTCATCCCAGTGGGGACAAGTCCTGGTACCTGGGATACCCCATGATTTTGCAACATGTTCACATACGCTGGCGGAAAACCAAAATATGTCATTCCCATCGGCACGTTCTTGTTGTTCCCGCCTGGTTCAGAGTTCTTAATCTGCTGCGTGAAGTGATCAAACTTTCTTGCACTGTCATCTTCAGATGTTCGGCATGCTTTCAGTGGTGGTTCATCAATGCTGCGTCTGTCACTGGTGTCACTGGCACGATCAGATATATAGGCACTGTCTACACTTTCACTGCTCACGTCACTCTGACGGTCACAGTCGCTCGACTCGTTCAGTTTTATGTTGTGTGTTCCAGAATCAGTGTCGCTTCCAAAAATGTCCTGAACACGCTTCCTCTTGAGTTTGAAATCTCGGAACATGCTGGGTGCTCGGTACAAGGACTTGTCACATCCACTCGTCTCCATTGGGAGATGATATCTGCTTGATACAAAGGCTGTCATCTGAAACAAAAGAATACAATGTCAAAAACGCTATCAGTAAGCTCAAATGGCTATATTAAAACAGAGAATCTCAGGCAAGTGAAACAATATCAAATATAGACCACCGTTACTTGATAAAAGTCTAAGCCAAACTATACTAAGTGGCTTACCAAAGATTAAAACATTGTATCGACAAGTGTTGATATAAAAAGACATAAGGATGATATTCTATTTATCATCCAATGTCAATCTTAGAACTACAGTGGTAGAGACATCAGTGATGTCATTTGATTGTGACATCATTGTAACCAATGACATCATGGGTCAGAGTTTCATTGTAGCGACATCTCATCACAGTTATCACTAGATCTCACCCAAGCAACATCTCCTTTAGGAGCCAGTTTTGGATGATAAAACCATTCTAAACACTATTGTAGCCATCCAAGACAATCAGTCTGGGAATTGAACCTTACTAACAGAGCCCTAATTGCTGGTCCACCCATGGCCACATTGAAGTGACCACACAAAGCACCAGGATGCTATAATTATGCATGCACGTAACGTGATGTTTTCCAACAAATCTGAACTTCTCCTTCACTGTTAATCTCCAACTTGCATCTGTTCTGAGAATGTAAACACAATTTATGCCTGCAATGACATTTGTATAGCCTGAATCATAATGTACATGGTTTTCAAAGTGATGATGTTCTAGGAAGACCTAAGTACCATATTTCCTCTAATAACTGCCCAGGTATTAATACATGAAGCCAGCTCCAAGACTTAATAGTTTACAGACCATTCCGGTTGATAGCTTAGTTGACAGCATGTTATACTTGATGAGATGGATCAGTGCTCATAAAAATCAACATCCTGGGTGTCACTGTACAAAACAACCTTACCGCTACAATAGTTGTACGTCTGTGTTAAGGTATGAGAGTTACCTAAGTGTGAGATTGCTTTGTACAATGGCATCCTGTTCCACACTCAATTATTTACAGGTCAACGAGCTGGAGTAATGATAAGTGTGTTGGTAAACAAACAAACAAACTTGTATACTGAATACCCTTCAATTATTAGAATAAACATAGTAGTTCAGAAATAACTTCTCAGTTGACACAAGACAGTTTGCTGCCAGTTTCACGTAAATTAATGACACATTGCAGTAAAGAGTGACAGGAATATGTGCACAAAACCTTGAAATATCAACAGTCTGATAAAATGATGCTAAGAAAGCATGAAATCAGCTTCAATGAAAATATTTGAAACAGATCCGAGATCTGTCTATGTTCATAGGATCCTGACACATGTAAGGGAGGCAGCCACAAACCTAAATCCATGAAACTTGTCCTTTGAACATTAAGACTGAGACAAAGCCAAAGCCTTCAGTTCTTATTGCTAATACTGCAACAGCCTTTTCAGGGTTAAAATACTTGCTGACTCAACTGTGATGACGATATATTCAGATACCTTGAGTAAGTACCACTGGTAGGATCTCTCTCTGGCCACGAGTTAGTGAATGAGTTAAGTTTTACACCGCACTCAGCAATATTCCAGCTATATGGCAGCGGTCTGTAAATAATCGAGTCTGGACCAGACAATCCAGTGATCAACAGCATGAGCATTGATCTGCGCAATTGGGAATCGATAACATGTGTCAACCAAGTCAGCCAGCCTGACCATCCAATCCCATTCGTGGCCTCTTACGGCAAACATGGGTTACTGAAGATCAATTCTAACCCGGATGTTCACGGGTCTCTGGCCACAAGGGATCTTGAGGCCTGCACCTCATGGCGCTTAAATCGTAAGTCATTTTCTTGAAGGTTTAAATATTCGAACATCTTGTCATGGTGAAAACATCACTTTTCAGTTTTATGGTACACAAATATATAGATGTTGACAACACACAGATAATAACAGATTTAAGACGCGTATCAGTGGAGATATTTTGATTGATTTGATACTTTTTAAAATTTCTAAACAACACAATTCACAACTAATTAAATAATGACTAACTTGAAGCAAACTATGTTATAAATCATCATACAGATTCAACTGATCGACAACTACCTCTTTTTTTCTTTATTACATTAGAGTTTTTTTTAACTTAAATGAGTGAAAAAGGATGATTTTTCTTCGAGATTCCAACCATGAGCAAATATGTGTTACAAAGTGAATATTTTTATAAGTGCTCGAATAAATTCAAATCATTTAAGTGCTGAAATGAAAAAAAAATCAACTGCCCATGCATACTAGCATATACTGAACAGAAAAAGTAAAGGATCATGAACTATTGTGCATATACAATACACATTTAAGGAAACAAGGTCTGCAAAGAATTATGTATCCCATACATTGTTGCTTCTTTTTTAAAACATATGAGGAACATGGGTTAATCCGCAACTTCATATCTAACATACATACATACAATAACATAAGCTGATTTGGAAAAACAACAACAACAAAAACAAACTTGATTACGCAATCAACATGATATGTATGTTGTTGAACATCGCATGGTATACAATATATAGTTAAAAGGTTCAAGAATGCCATATAGGATATTCTTGTACGAGTCCTGATTAGTATAAAGTCTAGTCCATTGAGTTTTCACACTATATAAGATTGCTGAACAACTCTAGAATGCTATGTAGAAGACTTGTACAATTCCATGTTGGCATAAAGGCTTGTCAACTGAGCATTGACGGCATATAGGCCAGTCAGACATGACATCCAGCACGGAATAACTGCAAACTTATACAAGTAACTAGTTTGGTATTCGGCATACGACTATAAAAAAATATAAATTGTTGAGACAAGACATGGTAAAAAGTCCAGATGAATTCATTCAGATTGCATAACCAAAATTTGAGTTTTGTTAAAAAAAACGATCACGCAATTTTGTCATGTAAGAAGAATGCATTAATCACAATATCCAGCAGCTAACAAGAGACAGATATGGGGAGTATATTGAAGAGAAGTACAGATGAGGACCTACCGCCATTGTGTCCTGTACACTAGTATAGCCGATCTATAAGGTAAGCGGCAGCATCGACGTTATCCCAAGCCTTTCAACTTGACAATGACAATGCCAGCACTCGGACAGGGGAATACCTCAAACAGTGTTGAGCGTCCCTTCCGACACTGGGCGGTGGCGGAAGAGGAACCGTTTGCTTAATACCTTGATAGTAAACACCAACAAAAAGCCACTTTGTTGTGACCAAGAAAAGAGCCAAATGGCTGCTGGATTGGCAAACAGCGGCCAAGACCTCGAAATCCCTTGCTTCTAAACATAGGGCCTCACAGCCATTCCACAATTATTGACAGAAGACAACAAAACTCGACTGAAATGACAAACTGGTGACCTTGGATCAACAGTTCTCTCCCTTTGTCAACAGATGAGGGCGGGCCCATATTACACTGCTACAACAAGGATAGGTGGCAGCGCTGGCTTCTGTCGGTCCACAGTAGCCTGGATCTCGGCCATCCAGCGTCTATTTTAACAACTTGGTTTACACCCAATTTAAGTCAAATATGTCAAAGTCAATGACACCAGTAAACATGATAGCTGTGTCCACTCTCTCCCCGTTTCCTCTTCACCTTGACTAGCGATGACCTTCAAAACACTATATTCAAAATGGGTCTGAATAATGCAGAATCGATGTGGAACAAAATAAGTAACATCCTAAATTCCATGCTGCCATTAACTCATCGATTCCGTCTCCTGATAACCGCCAGTGTTTGACCCTGATCAGAAAGGTTAGTCGGAAGGACCAGCAGAGTGGGTGAGTGAGTATGGTTTTGAGGTGCTCTTAGCAATAGTCCAGTAATATGACACTGAGGGACACAAGAACATCACACGTTTATATTTAAAACGTGTGAGTGAGTGAGTTTAGTCTTACGCCGCTATTAGCAATATTCCAGCAATATCACAGCAGGGGGACACCAGAAATGGGCTTCACACATTGTGGGGAATCGAACCTGGGTCTTCGACATAACGAGCGAACGCTTTAACCACTAGGCTACCCCATCGCATATGGGTAACTGAACAAATGCCATTCAGAGGGTTACTGTTTTCAAACACTGATATCAGTTTGTATATTAAATAGGTCTGGCCTGATACAACTTCACAATACTATACTCACCATAATAAACATGGGTGCTTTATAGACCTGACAATACAAAGGAAAGTTTATTTTGAAATACACATGACAAGTTAAATCTCTTGTCACTGAGCGGAAGTGAAGAAACTTAGTTCAAACGTCTATGAAGCGAACATGTGTTTTAATAACGCCAACTCCGAATCATATACCCCTTCTGTGACTTTTTTCAGTAAAAAGTGTCTTACATACACATTAAATAGAGATTGCATGTGAATTTTGATTTTAGGATGGGAACTTCTAAAAAATTCTTTTACTAGATGATGGTAAGATTGATAAGTGGAGCAGTGCATGCAATATGGTGAGTACATTAATGGCTCATGCTCTCTTCGACTCTTGTCCAGTCTTACACGATGTGAATTGTTTTGTTCAGGTCCTGTCTCTTCATATCATTACTATTATCGCAGATTCTGTTGACCCTAAAATGTTTACAAATGTAATGGGCCTTTAATTATTCAGAGCTACAGATAACTTTTAGGGTCATTGAATTATGGACTCGTTTGTGTTCATTTCTATCCTAATTTTCCTTTGAGTAACCAAATAAATTGTACCTGCCTCACTAAAACGAAATTGGGTATTTTGCCATTTCCCATTAATTGTAAAAATTTAATAAAGATTAAATGTTGGTTTATGTGCTTGTTATTTACATTTGATCAGTAATATGAGAAACTATAAGAACGACTGCAAGTTGCCAGGTTCATGTGCTGAAATAGAACCTCTATCCTCAGTAACCTCCGAGCTAAGATATTAAATTTTTGTGTGTATGCATGTAAGATCAAAGTTTATTGAGTATTTCCAAAAGTTCAATCGTACTTGTACGAAACAAACTTAATAGGAATAAAGTTTTCACATAAATATTTACGTAATTTACGCAGATACGCATCTTATCTGTACCTCTGGTTATTCTATCATGCTGCATGTTACCTAAAGCATGGTCAGAATGAAATACACTACTGATCACATTACCTAACCTCAAATATGTACAAAGTCTGATACAGATTAGATTTAACATGCCACTGACTGATACACACTGTTGAGTCACGTGATTGTAAACCTGACCTTAACTAGCCCGTGAGTTGGGTATATAACGTGACACAGATAGACCTCCACCGCGCATGTGAAGGTCAGGGTCATGCCTGTACCTATCACCCACACACTTCAGATACACATCTGATATCAGCACACCTATCACTAGACAAATGTTTGTAAATATTCATGGCTGACGTCTGCTCTGACATATTGCATTAAAAACTGCTGAAAAACATAGTACTAGAAATATGTCCTGGGTTCAAAGATCAATATAATTGCCTACATTATCCAAACATTATCACTAGATTCACTACTGTTGTGGTTATGTAGAGGTGATAGTATTTCACTAGTGACAGCACTAAAATTGAACAAGCCTAACAATGTGAGCAAGGCTTAATACCCCTGATCAGGACTCCCATTTCAGCTGAACAATTGATAATGATTAATCTTGACAAAATACAAAATCTGTACTAAACTTTGAACAGCACCTTTCCTATACACAAGGACACCATTACCAAAATCTGAAAATCATCCATTAAATGATTGTGAACTTTTTTGGTTGAACAAGTTTGACACACAATTTATCCTAAGTTCAAGAGATGTAATTTGTGATAATTCTTGATAAATTGAAAATATCAAAATAAAACTTTGAAGAGCACTTCCCAAATAGATATGGTGGGTGATAACCAAATTTGAAAATAATCCTTTCAAATGTCTTTGGGTTATATTGTTTAAACACAAATTTCCATGGGTCTTTTTAAGTCTGAAATATGTAAATTGACACATCTCTTTAAAAAATTAGAAAATCAGAACCAAACAGTGCACTGCACCTCTCCTTTAGACAAAGAGGTTTTCCAAATTTCAGAAACATTCTGACCAATAGTTTTCAAGTCATTAGTTGAAAATACTATAATATAATAACCAAACATTGCACTGCAATTCTTCATTAGACAAAGAAGGTGGTTCAAGAATTTGAGAAAAATCAAAGAAATAGTTTTTAAATTATTTATTGAACAAAAATGTCTTTGGACGGTACCTACCTTATTGGTACCCATATACTCCCGACCTTCTTAGGTTGGAGTTATGAATCCCCAGATCATAAATTCCACAAACCAAGATAAAGCCTTGTGACTCAACAGATCCTGTTATCACTAATCTTGCTGGTCCAGTTTATGCACTTAGATGATAGCAATGGACTGCAAAGGTTCAGAAAATTCTTGGTCGTGATAAGAGTCATCTAGATCAGAATAAATTGTAAAGATACAGGTGCAACAACCTCAAGCCCTTCCCTGATGCAGGGTCAATAAACGGACAAGTCATACATGTTTCTTCCACAAATGTTCAAATACAACTCCTATTTTCAGGTAATGTATGCAGTAAACATAATCTTTTAATTTAATAATCTCATAATACACCAGCAGCTAAAAGACATCATTGAAACAAAATAATTATACATTTAGAAAACAATAGATAATCAGTGGTTGCCATGACGAAGAAAACCTGTGTATTTGAGGCACAAATTATCTCAAATACGCAGTGAATTTAGAAGCCTTTGTCATTGTTGACACAATGCTACTGGGCTGTTAGTTCAGATAATCTACAACTAAATGTTACCCAATTAACTGCTCAGTGCTGATTAAATACCTGACCTGCCGTACCTTGTTTTTTGTCGTAATTAAACAATCACAGTTGATGTCTTGATGTAAGTTCCAAACTGAAGTTGACTCACCAAAACATGTCCATGACTCCCTCTCATGACACCAGGGAGTCATGATGACTCCTACATTTATGCCTAGGACAAACACTGAAAACAATCCAGTGATCGACGTCATGAGCATCGATTTACACAATTGGGATTAGGACGATATGCTTCAACCAGTGGTAAAAATCTGAGACCCACTTGACTTCAGGCTTTCCACTCACATTAGCTGACATTCTGTGCTATTTTTTTTATGCCTAGGCAAACACTGGAATGAG